TAGAGTGGTACAGCTCTTGCGGAGCGAGCGAGATCTATTCGCATCTGGGTTTTAAACACGATATTCATGCTTGTCCAATAAAATACTCTTTTCCCACCAAAAAAATAATATCAAAAAGCCTTTCAAGTGGAATACCTTGTAAATGCTATTGGTGGAGTCTCATGTCTGCATCGTTTTGAACAACCGCTTCCAAGGTGTGCTGTGTTGCCCTTTCTGACCGTGCATCCTGGAGGGACGCAGCCATCATCCAAGGTGACACCTCCCAAGCTTGAGAGGGCAACCTAGCTTTTTGGATGTTTGTTTTTCAAGGAAAAAATATTTTTTTTTGTGGATAGCAGGAAGGAACAAACACCAAAACAAAGGTCTAGGGTCTGTTATTTTGAAAGGCTTAGTTACATCTGTGCAGTTCTGGCACCGTCATGCCACAGCCTCCCTCCCGTTGGATGCACAGAGATTGACTCCGAAGTGCCCTCTCCCTTTGCTCCAGGTTCCTGCTGTGCATCTGAATATGCGTTAGATGAATTTCCAAGTGTGCTTGTAAGCCCAAAGAAGTGAATATGTCAAAGCAGTGCATGTCCTTCTGCCTGGCTTCAAACTAGGCTCTGTAAACTGGAGGTAACGATATCCTGGCGATGGATTGACTTTGCAGTTAAGAGGAGGAAAAAGCAGCAAATACGGAGTGCATTGTGTTTCACTGCATGTTGAGGATGGCTGTCACGGTGAGCTAGCAAATCCTGCTGTAATTGGCGTAGAGGAATTCTGCCAAAGTCATGGAAGCAAAGTGGTTTGTTACTTGCCTTTGTGGACTGGAGAGAGATCTGTCTTGGATATCCTCTTGTTGACCTTATCGAGTTAACTTTCATGTGTTTAGAAGGTCATGGAGAAAATCATTAATATTAGATTGATTTGATGGTAGTAAGTATTTCCTGCTTATCAGATGGGGTTTGAAAGGACTTTGAATAGCTTGATTTGTTTATCTTTTGCAATCGGTACGGCCCTTAGCGAGAGGGATTTTGTATTCCTAGTTTGGTTTGGGGAATGACATATGGTTTGCTCTCTGATGAGGCTTGGAGGCTCCATAGGATGAAAAGCAAAAAAATCAGGAAATTCTGAAGTCCAGCTCCCAGCTAACTTGGCCATGCTGTGGGCCTTGGACATCTCGCGCTGTAACACTTCATGACACGAACAATAACAGATGAACATCCCCTTTTATTGGAAAGCTCAGAATAGAGAATTCAAAGTGTGTAGATGTTGGTTGGATGGAAAGCCAAATCCCGTAAACACGGCTTGGCACTGCGAGGGTTTCATTGACCTTGGCCGGGCTGTGATTGCCTTCCGTTCACAACCAGGCATCGGTGTTTGCAGAGATGAGGCATAAACTTGCGCGGGACAAACATCGCAGTGCTGCTGTCAGGGGGTTTTGCCATTCTTGAGCCTTTCTTGGATTACTTCATGGTGAAACCTTCAGCCGCATCAGCAAAATGGTCTTTCCGTCACCCTCCATCTGGGATTTAACAAGAACGAGAGTCATTCTTTAAGCGGAAGGATCATTGTAAAGCCATTTAAAATTAAATCCACTCATTGTTTGAGAATCATTCGGCAAAAAAAGCACTTGAAAATCTCCCAGTGTGGGCTGTCTGAAGACAGATGTTGTTTCTGGTTTCTGTGGCTGCTCAGGAAGGAGGTAGGATTAAATGCGCCTACCTTGAATGACTGGGCCGGTACAACAGAGAGGAGGGAGAGCTGCTTCTTTACAGGAGGGAGGCGTTTCTGATGCATCAGTTGCCTGAGGTAATGGTTGTTTTTAAAAGAAACGCTGTTTATTCACGTGCATAAGCTCTGTATTGCCAACTGTGTTTCCAGGATGTCTTTGTAGCTGTAGATTATCACTGAAAGATGTAATGGTACATAAATAATACATGGATGAGGAACTGATTGAAAGAAAAAGGCAAGGAAGAATAAAAATGAAACTAAATTTGATGTGTTAACGACTGGGAATTTGCAGGTTGTAAACTGCTGGCGAAGAATGAGGTGGATTATATGAAAACCACTATCCTGAGATGCTGAAGAAGTCCTGCATAGACAGTGGCCCATACCAGTTGGATCGATTTGCAAAATAGACCAGTATACAACCCCAAATCCCACCAAAATGCTGGAGGAGATAAAGTAATGCAGGAAATTCTTTTCCTGTCCCTAGAGAGTGTCCCACAGGGCACGTTGCTGGTTGGGAGCTAGAAGGTGCGAGCAGGCAGTCATTTCAGAGACTCGTTGGGCTGAACTCTGGATCCAGAGTCCAGATTTTGCTGCCTACAGCATGGAGGCATGGGTGATCAGATTGAAGGGCCAAAAAAACCAGGCGGTCATTTTGTGTATGACGTTTTTATATGCAGTAATGACATATTAATAGAAAAAAAAAAATTTCCTTTTGCTTTGGTGAACAGAAGTGAAAGGCCTTAAGTTTTCAAGGGGCTGGGACTTAAGGACATTTCTGCATCTGTTTTCATGTGGTTGTGATTGTTATGGAAATATATTTGGGAGTGGATGGACTTGGTTTTAGGTGACCTTCTTGAGTGAGTGTTGGTGATCAGGTACCGAAGGAGGCATATGTTACTAATTTTTTTGAGATTTATGAAAGAGAGTCTCTCTTACAGTATATATAAATGGACTTTCTTATCTCGGTAAAGTTAGCTGCTTGAGGGAGTGTACTCTTTAGGGCAGGGATACTGTGAGAGTGGATTTCAGCAATGATCAAATAGGTTTTATCTCATGAAATCGACACTGCATGAAATTTTATTTTAGAGTATTGATACTTTCTGCTGCGGGCCAGATGCGGCCCAGGCTGGCACGGCTACTTCACCTTGGCCACGCTCCAGCAGAGCATCCTGTTTCAACAGAATGGTTAAGCGTGTGCTTATCTTTAAGCAGGCAGCTAAATCCTGGTGGTTTCACTGCTGCTCTGGACTGGGGCTTCTTGACCGGGGGACAGGTCAGCTGCAGGCAGAACCTGTAGCACATCTCTCCTCCAGGATTTCTTCCCATGGGTTAGGGCTGGACCTGTTACTGGCGGTGTGATGGAGTGGTACACGCTTGGGCTGATGTTATTTCAGGGGTCGGCGTCCCCTGCTGATCCCATCGCCAGGCTACTGCTGGGCTTGGGTGAGGGGGTGGGGTT